AACCCTGGCCAGCCAGGAAGCTGCAGACATCCTGGTGTTGACACAGGGGTGATGTCACCAGCAGCCAATGGGGAACCGTTGGCGGGTTCTGCATGCGCCTCCCTTCGTCCTCACGTCCTCACGAGCCCTGCCACGCACGCACACGACTGGAATACCACCTGAATAAACCAGTCTTTCCCAGTGTCCCATGGGGCCCGCTTTCCTCCCGGGCTTCATCCATGGCGCAAACCCCCCAAGCTCTTGACCCAGCACTGAGAGGCTGGGGCACAGAGTGTGGGGTGGAGGGCTGGCCATGAGCTCTGAACCTAGTCTCCCTGAGACCTGTAAACCCCGGAGCTCTGAGGCCAGTACTTAACCCTGCCAGTCGCTCCTCCATCTTCCATGACTCCCCATAGCCACCATGACGCCCCACAGTCACACCTGGTCCTTCTTTTCTTCCATCTGTTTCCTGACCCTGACCCACAGCCCTGGGGGGCCCCTGGTCCATGCACCCAGAGGAGTCCCATCATATATATGGCCTCTGACACACAGCTCACCCAACAGGGGCAGCGTCTCAGGCAGCTCTGGGCCCCTCTCTATGGAAAGCAGCTGGTTCCCAGGCCTCTAAACCAGTTTTCACTTGCCTTCCTTTTATCTTCCTCCAGGAAGCCTTGAATCCAGGGCATGAATTCCCAGGCTTCCTCTCCTCTTGGGTGCCCACCACACCCCTGACTCTGACCCTCTGTCCCCCTGTGCAGCCTCTCTTCCCACCCTCAACTTCCACATACGCCTCTCACTTAGCCCCAGCTACTTGGGACCTCTGGTCTAGGTAGAAGGTTTTTGCAAACTGCGGGACCCCAGACCCCCTCCCCTCTCCGTGGCCCCACCAGTTCCTCTTCCTGTGGCCTGAACTGTGCCCCTTTCTCAGGGAGCTCGCTCTGTGTCCACCACTGGTTCCCACGCCCTGGCTTGGCACATGCTTGGGTGCAGAGGTGTCGCACAGAGGGTGGGGGCAGGAGCTTCTGCGCCTGGCGCCCGCGCTTGTTTACGGGTCCAGCCCCCACCCCTCGCTGCTCCCCGTGGACCGGCTGCCTGCCTGTGTCCAGCCAGGTGTGGGGTGATGGAGCAGGGCTCCCCAAGGACAAGGAGCACAGTGTCTGCTTTATTTGCAGGCTCGGTGCTGACAAGGAACAGAATACCCACAGTGACTGCTTCCAGGAAACGGCTGCAGGGAGGGTGGGAGCCGCGGAGGGAGAGCAGGCCCCTTCCCAGCAAGCCCCTGCAGGTGAGCTTCCAGGAAGGGCCCCCGCCAGCTCCCCTCAGCCCTGGAAAGGGGCCAACAGTGTCACCCCCGGAGCAGGCCGGGGAGAGGGAAGAGGAGGAGGAAGGAGAGGGTGGGCAGCCCCACTGCTGCATCGTGGCCACTGTAGTCAGAGGGGAGTCCAAAGCTGAGCATGGCTTCTGCCAGGACCTTCCCTTCCCTTTGGGGCTCACATAATCTTTGAGAAGGGCCTAGGCTCTCATGGGCTTTTCAGATGCTGCACACACATGCACACATATACACACACACACATGCATGCACATGGGCCAGGTCTGCTGTGGTAGAAGGACAGTCTCTGAACCCAGCCCCAAGCCTTGCTAGTCACTCGGGCTGAACAGGGCCACATGAGCCAGCAGACGCCCTTGGCTCTGAGCTCCACAGCAGCCCTCCTCTCCCAAGAAGAACCTTTGTCTTCCTGGAGCTTTGCTGGGGGAGACCACCCTCCGCGGCCCTCCCCTGTGTGTTCTGAGACTTCCCAGGCTGTGCTGTAGTCAGGCCCTCCTAGCCCCTTCAGGTCCGTTCAAGGATTTCATTTCCTTTGTAGTATTGGACTGTTTTGTCCTGACCCCACCCCACCTCGGCGGTCCCTATTGTGCTCCTGGGCCATTAGACTCTTGCTGAGACATGAAACCGTACAAAGACGGGCAGGGCACACAAAGCCAGTCCCAGGGGTTCGTCCTCCAGGGGACACTGGCCCCCCATGGGCCTCAACCACACACACACCCTGCAGAGCATCATCAAACGGGATGTGGGCCTACACTGTCACCTCAGCCTGGGCACTGGAAGCTGTGGTCAGTTGGTCAGCACACACAGCCCCCCACATGGAGACCCCGACTCACAGGCACAGATATAACTGTGGCAAACACACGTGGAAAGCCCCACTCACCAGCTCAGACACAGCTGTGGCACACAGTCGCCCAGTGATGGAGTGATAGGCCTCATGACCTTAGGACATGTGGTTCGACGTGTTAACCTCCAGCACACAGGTCCATGGGAGACACACGCAGTCACACACGGAGTCACCACTGTGGCTACAACACATGTGATAAGTCGTCTTTTCTCTGAAGAGGTAACTTTGCCTTTGCTCAATCTAAACTGGCAAGTGGCAGGGATTGGGGGTTGGCAGGAGGTGGGGGACCAGGTGTGAAGATCTGGGTAATTTCACGTTGGGTGCCTTGTGGGGTTGGGGATTGTCCAGGATTCCACCAAGGAATGAAACCTCTTTTCCCAAGCTTTCCAGCACCCCCTGGCCAGCCCCTCCCTGCTCCATCTGCCCCCCCCCCGCCACTCCCTCCAGTTGGGGGATGAAATTCAAGCCCCTGTTTGCTTCTCAAATGCTTAACTCAGCGCCAGGGCATTTGAAAGTGCCTTTGGGTGGTAGGGGCTCAGAGCCCGTCTAACAACCCTCTCTAAGCCCCTTTCTAAAAAGCAGGAAATCGGGTTGGGCTAAAGGTAAACACATTCCAACCTGGCAGTCGATGGAGGGGCTTTGTCGGGGGCTGGGTCGGGCGGGCCACCTCTGTTTTCCCAGCCCCCACCCCTGGGCGAGGCTCAAGCTCAGGACCCGCCTGCACACCTGTTTGCAGAGCAATGATGCTTCTTGCCCCCGCCTGTCGGCACCCCGAGAAACTGCCACACACGCGCCCTAGGCTCCCAAAGTTCCCAGGGGGTCAACTGTACACAACTCCAGGCACCCACCTCAGGAACCCTCTAGAAAAAGCAGACCTGGTGTGGAGGCTCAGGTGTAAACCTTGCCCCTGTGCACACCCTCAACCATTCATGGCATTCTGGGGGCTGGTGCATGTAGACATCTGTGGTGGGGCTGGGGAGACTGTAGGGACAACTCAGGGGAGCCCCACATGCTCCCCCCAGGGGAGCTCCTGATGAAGCTTCCGGCGTGGGAGTGTGCAATTGTAACCCACTGCCCCTTCCCGAGCTTCCTTCCCCCTCTGCACTTCCATTTCTGGGTCCCCAGACCTGGCACTTGTTGTCTACTCCCCTCCCCCAGTCTGCACCCCGGGGCCCTCAACACCCCCTGGGCCACCTGTGGTGCCTACCAGCCTTTGCAGCAAGCTCTCTTCCCTCTGGGAGCTTTTATCTTCCAGCAGCTTTGTAGACCTCCTGCAGAGTCACATGTTTACCATAAAGGCCCTTTGTAGCCCTCCCTCCTGACATGTAATGGATGGCTACTTTGTCATTTGGGCAAGTCACCACCAGCAGGGTCAAGAAGGTGGAGGTGGCCCTCCGCAGCATGGCTGGCAGCTTTTGAAACACTCCATGGAGGTGTTTTGGGGAAATGCTCACCCAACTGTGCCCAATGGGGTGACTGACCCCATCTTAACACATATCCTTGTAGGGGAAACAGTCCCAGCAAAATCAGGGCCACTGGTGGATGGGGAGGGAGCAGGAGAGGACCCAGAGGGGAGACCAGATTCAGGGGTCTTGCAGGCAGGCCAGACAGAGGAGGGGAGAAGCTGTCCCACCTCCCGGGGAAGAATGAGGTCGGGGATGGGTGCTTCTGTCTGGTCTTTGTCAGCCCCTCCAGTGTTTCTCGACTGCTCTTGAGCACTGGGACTGGAGGAAGGGGGAATGGAGAACCTGGGATCCCAGCTTCATTTCCAAACGCTGCCCGTCACGTCAGTTCCCAATGTCTGCACAGCTAAGGGCCCGGGAGCCAGGATGCCTGGCTGGGAACTCAAAAGTAGAGGGGTATACCCAGTCTTGGGGTCTTGGGCCAGCTGCTGTCTCCATGGAATGCCAGCCACAAATCTATGGGGGCGCTGCACTTCACCCCAAGAGCAAGAGTCCAGCGATTACCCTCCAGCACCCTCTACATGGCTCCCACCTCTCTCATCCTGACCTTTTACTACTTGGGTCTGTGTGGCACCCCTGCCCCTCACTACACCACAATCTGACCTGTCTCTCTGTTGTGGGAAGGGGACACCTTGTGTGTCTACTCAGACCCAGAGCTAAGCAGGGCCCGGGCCAGGAGGGGGAGGTCCAGAGGTCACCATGTGTCCGTGGCTGCCAGGCCTCAAGTGCTGCTGCCCACTCCCAGTGAGCCCCACGGGGCAGGGTCCCGCCCATGTCAGATTCACTCCCCAGAAAGTGGCTGTCCAAACCTAGACCAAGTCCTTGAGTCTGGGGCCAGCACTGAGGCTCAGGGAGGCAGGCGTTCAGGCAGGACCAAGCAGCAGCGTGGAGCTATTGGGTGGGGCCTGACCTCTCTCTCATTGCCAAGGACACTCTTCACCTCCCCAGCCCCCACCTCTCCTTGTGGGACCACTCCCCCTTCAGCCCCACAACCCCCCCTTTTGTCTCCATGTAGCGCCTGTGATCCTCCACCCCTGACGCCTGTGACACCCATTCCCCTAGGCCCCCACCCCTATCCCGCCATGTCCATAGGTCCCACCTCACCCTGTGACCTCTTGTGTGCTGTAACCCTGTAGGATCCCATGAGCCATGTGTACTTCATCCCATCCCTTATGCCCCATTTGTAAGCCCCTCTCCATCATTGTTCCCCACCCCATCCCATCCCAGTCTTTGTATGTGCTTCACCCTATCCCGTATGCCTGTTCCATCCTATAATCCCCCCTCCTTCTGCTCCCTCCCCACCCCTGTTCCCCCAGCTCAAGGTGCACCCCCAGGCAGACGCACAGATCTCAATCCCTGAGACAAATGGCTGTAACTGTGTTTATTGATGAACCCAGGGCTTCTGGTGAAGTCCTGGTGGGGAGGGGCACAGGGCGAAGTGGGGTGAAATGGAATGTTTTGAGGTGGCTCCGATGTTGGGGAGCATCCAGACTAGGCGAGGGGATGGCGAGGCCTCAAGCACACGGCCGGCGCCCAGTCGCCCCCAGACAGAGGTGGATGGGACAGGCAGGCGCTGGGGCGGCATGGCCAAAGAGGCCCACACACTCACTGCACACTTGCACGGAGAGACTCAAAGCTGTCTCCAGAACTCCAAACCAGTGCAAACGACTTAGTGCAAATTAATTCAAAAGGGATGGGTGGGGAAACAGAGTCATGGATGCTTTGAATCTCTCAAGCAAAGAAAAAAGAGGAAAAAGAAGAAGAGAGAGAAAAGGATGAAGAAGACAGGAGGAAGACGGGTGATGACAATCTGGGCACAGCAGAGGGTGGCCATGAAGATGGAGTCGTGGGGGGTGGGTGCTGGGGGGACTGCTTTTCTGAGGTGGTGATGGCGTCTGTTCCTTCAGTTTCACCTGGAGAGAGAGAGAAAGTGAGAGACTTAACATGTGCCTGGGGGCCAGGGCGGTGTGCGGGTGGGCTGGGCAGCTTCCAAAATGGCGACCTGGCTCACCTTCCAGAGCAGATTCCTGAGTCACGTGTGGTTCCCGAGTGCAGCATATTCTTGATTCAGAGCTAGATGGACTTAAAGAAGTCCCCAGATTCGAAGGCCCAGACATGAGCTGGGTAGCACCATTTCTGTGGGTGGGAGAGAATGAAGCCCCCAGGCTCCTGCGTCTACTCCCCCAGCCCATGCCCCCCACCCCCCACATGCTGCAGGAGGGCAGTCACCTTTTTCATCTTGAGGGTTTCAAGGGGTCCAGAGAGCAGCAGTGTGTGTTAGCTCTTTTGGAAAATCAAAGGAACAGACGTTTCTTGTGGCAGTGTCCCCCGGTGCCAGCCCAGGTTGTTCTGTGGAGGACAGAGTCGGGGTTAATGGACAAGAGAGTGGCCAGGTGGCCAGGTGGTCAGGCCCTGTACTGGGCAGAGAATATGCTCACCAGGAAGGCCGGATGTCAGCCCCTCTGTCCTCACCATCACACCGGACCATGTCATGTCTTTCCAATACTGTCACTGCAGCTGGCGTCCTGGCCTTCGTGGCTGGCGGGCACGTCCACCCCTGCTGGAGACCTGGCTGTGGGGAGAACAAAGAAGTTGGTTGAGCAGGGGCAGGTGGGGATGGGGCGGCTGGTGGGCTAGACACTTACCCTCGTCTCCAGTCCAAGCACAGAGGCACCGATCACTGCTCCTTCGTTGCCCGCAAGGCCCTCCTTGGCCACGGACTCTGGAGGCCAGTGCCTCACTGGCTCGCTGCTGAACCTCGCCCTGCCTGTGCCCCGACCTCCCTCCTTAGAAAGCCCATTCACTCCGCCTCGCCCACTTCGCCTGGTCTGGCCTCGCCCCGTGCCCTTGACTCCCCTGGTGCTGTCCTGTCTGCCATGCCAGACCCAGGGGCTGGGCGGTTAGGGCATACAGTGTCACGAAGACCACTGTGGGCCCTCTCCGCGCCAGTCCCTGGGCTGCAGTGCCACGTGGGAGTGTTGTGTCCGTAGGCCGGGCCCACTGCAGCCTCCTTGCTGCGAAATCTCTCCGGAGCCCGCCACCCGCGGCCACCTCTCCCCACCTGATGATGTCCTGCCATGCTGCCCAAGCACTGCCCTTCTTTCCCGCTCTCTGGCCCTCGAAGCTCCAGCGCAGGCCATGCAAGGCCATGCTGGAGCCACTCATGAACCTGCTCCTGAATGAATTGCGGTGGGTGGGATGTGGTGGCAGCTGGGGACCCCTCTATGTCCTGTGACCCTGCCCAGCCCTGTTCGACCCGGACCTGGAATGTTCCCACACCTGCTGGATCCCTTTATCGCTGTCTCCAAGGTCACCTATCACCTCCCTGGATGCAGCAGCCTCTGTCCTCACTGGCAGCCTTTCGTCTTTCTACCTGCCCCTCTAAAATGCTCTTTCCACCAGCCCCCCAGCCTTGCCCCGTCTCGGCTCCCCCCGAGAAGATGTCACCTTTGCTAACTGTCTTGCCTCGTCCTTCCTGCCGCCGTGCTGGGAGGCTGGCCGCTCTTCTCCTCACCAGTCCCCCTGCCCTAAACCTTCTTCTTCCAGAAGGCCAGTGCAGCGAAGCCTGGGGAGAGAAGGGGACTCACCTGCCCAGCACACTGCGGTCCTCACCTGCCCACTGCTGCCAGCTACATCTCCACTGCCCAGGCCTGGGGGTCGAACCCTGCCCAGTAGCTCCCCCTTGTCCGACCAGCCGTCACGTCCTGTAACCAAAAGTGACCGGGATGAATGTCTGGCTCCCCCTTCTTCTCCAACCCTAGCTCAGGCCCCTCAGCCCCACACCGGTGTTGCCCTGCTTCCATGACGCCTGGGAGCCACACCATGCTTGCTGGCTCCCAGGCCCCGCTGCCTCTGCCCTGCCTGAGCTAGCCCCTCTGCCCTTCACCACTCCTGCCAGACTCCAGACGGCCGAGGTGCTCCTCGGCCCCCACGACTCTCCTCCAGCGCCCCATCTTCCCCAGTTTCCCCCGTTACCCTCCCCACCCACCCACCCCACCCCCCTCCCTCACCCTGCTCTTCAGCCCCTAGCCCGGGCTTTTTCTAACTGGGGTGGCCCCGCCCAGAATTCCCGCCCCTGCACTGCCAGCCAATCAGCACAGAGCCCTGCCGGGGCCCCCGCAGGGCCCACCTCCGCCCTGGACCGTTCCAGCACACGTTTCTCTCACCCCGCACCCGTCCTGGAATTCTCCAAAGACAGACTCCCCACACCACTCTTTTGGCATCCCTTAGACAGGGTCTGGCATTGTCCCCAAACGTCCCCCCTGGGTCGAGAGCTTCTACCTTCTGAGACCATCGGTTCCCTTTATAGAATGGTGTGCACCGGGGCACCCTGTCTACCAGTGCTGGGCGCTCACTCTGTGGCAGGGATCCTGGAAGGAGGAGGAGGGATTCCTTGGGGCTCAGACAAAGTACAGAGCCTTCTGCATATTCTGCCACCACCGCGGCTAAGACCTCATGTTCGCTTTAGGGGTCCCTGAAGTCAACCATAAGTTGCAGGGGACTGTGGGGAGGGTCAGGGATCAGGTCTGGCTGAGAGGTGCCCCAAGTGCTATGGGGCACACTGCCGCTGGTGGGTGACCTAGTTTGTCCTGTCTGGTCGATCGTTCTGGCCTCAGTGGCTTCCATGGAATAGCTGGTTGGGGCACCCCAGGTCCCCCTTACCACCCCTTCCTGGCAGTCTGGATGCTTCAGGCCACTTGCTTCAAGCGTGGGTTCCCTCTAATAATGAGCTGTCCAGTAAGTAGCCTTGTAGCCCAGTCCCAGCTGCCTGACTCAGCTCGGGCACCAGGACTCAGGGCCATAATGAAGACAGGAGGGCTTCCAGACTCTGTGGCCACTCTGTCCTTCTGTCCTTCTTGGCCTCTGCAGAGGGGGCATTGGGACCCTGCAGCTCATAAGGTTTGCCCAACAAGCCATGTGTACTGGGGCCATGAGGAGGGGTGGGGGGCAGACCAAGGTGGAGATGGCTGGAACCCAGGGCCAAGACCCCAGAACTGACCCGGCCTGACCACACGGCGGGGCCTCAGTTGTGTGGGGAGATTTGGGGTGCTGTAGTGCCTTAATCAGACTTTTGTAGGAACCTGTGTCCCCCACCATGAAGATCTGGATGCCAACTGAACACTGACTCCCTACTGTTGTCATGGGTTATCCCTATTTTTACTATCTGAAAACCCCCAGATATCTCTATGGGTGGACCCCGAGTTACAAATGTAAGCAGACTCCCCCCAATCTGCCATAAACTGACCCCAGCCTATGTGGCGTTGGCGCTGTGATGTGTAGGTCTGTACTGCCGCCTCGCGGCTCTGCCTCTCTCCACACTCAAAGCTTCTTTGCAAATGGAGGTGAGCTGGCTGAGGTCAACACTTAAGACCACAGAGAAGGACCACAGAAACACTCCTGCGCTACGGGAAGGGTCTCCCTCTGAAGATGAGAACCCCATTATCCAAGGCACAGGGGTCCCCCATTATCTCCCACCACTCACCCTCATGTCCCTCAATTTCAACAGCACGACTTGAGGTGCGTTAGCTGGGATGGCCAGAGGTGGCCCACGTGAGTCCTATTCCCTGGTGACCCTGAGGAACCCTTGAGGCACCAGGCATGGGTGCTACAGGTGAACCCCAACCTCAGCTGCCCGGTGCCTCGGCACTTCGGTGTGTGAAGCTCAGCTGCCACCCCGCGGTGACTTCTGTCTCTCCATCGGCAACCGATTCTGCACCGCGCAGGCAGTGAGCCGGCTTGCTGGTCTGGGGTACCGAGACAAAAGGGGACCACTCCAGAAATGCACAGTGTCCTTCTCATGACCCTGAGAAACATGGAGGTGCTGGGCCTGAGTGATCCGAGATGTGGAAACAGGCGAACCCCAACTTTGCCTGCGTCTGAGCTGCCATGTATAAGGCTGCACTGCCACCGCGCGGCAACCTCGGTCTCCTCACCCTCAGCCGATTCTGTGCCGGTCGGGAGGTGGTTTTGAGGGCCCAGCGATCCTGCAAACCACTGAAGTGCTGGACCTGGGTGACCAGGACATTACCGTAGTAGACATTCAACTGTGACCGCCTCTGGGCTGCGATGTGTGACACTGTGTGCCACCAGCCCGCGGCAACCTCCCCCCCCACCCCCGCCAGCCAATTCTGCACTGACACCTACCGGAAAGCGAGCCAAGCCTGCCAGTTTTGGGGCAAAAGGGGACCACTCTAGAAGCACACGGGTGTCCTATCCCTCTGGGGACCCAAGGGATCATCGCGGTGCCGGGCTTGTGTGACCCGGAATGTTACTGCTGTTGAACCCCAACCTCAGCCGCCTCTGGGCTTTGGTTTGGGAAGCCGCGCTGTCACCGCGGCAACTCTGACTTCTCCGCACACGACCGATTCTGCGCCATCTGGGGAGTGAGCCAGCTCGCTGGCTTTGGGGCCCAAGACAAAAGGGGGCCACTCCAGCAAGGCCCAGGTGTTTCTGTTCCTCTGGTGACCCTGTGAACTTGGGTTTCCGAGTTGGGGAAGGAAACCCAAGACAATGCCACTGAGCGAACCCCAATCTCGGCAGCCTCTGGGTCTGGTGTGTGAAACCACGCACACTGTCATCTCCGTGTGCGAGTAGTTACTTCTGTCTTCTCACCCACAACCGATTCTATGATGTCTGGGGAGTGACCCGAGGTCACTGGTTTTAGGGCTCAAGACAAAAGGGGGCCACTCCAGCAAGGCACAAGTGTCCTACTGCCTCCCGTGATCCCGTAAACCATGGAGGTGTTGGACCTGGATAACCTGAGGCGTTACCGCAGTCGAACCCCAGCCTCAGCCACCTCTCGG